CCCACCCCTCAAGCCTGCAGACATTACAGATGCCGCAGGCCTCTGGACACAGTATGCCCCCACTGCTGTGATTCCTTAGGACCCTGTATACAACAGACCTCACTGCTGTCATCCCTCAGGCTTTCAGACATTACAGATCCCACATCTCTGTATACAACAGACCCCTCTGCTGTCAACCTTCCAGACAATAGACAGACCTTTCTATCATCCCTGACCTACAAGGCACTAAAGAGCCCTCCACTGTCATCCCTAATGGCCTCTATAGCTTCCTATCCCCCGTGCAGTCATCACTCCCCTTTCTTTCACCCCCTCAAATGACCCCTCATGCATTGCGCACATAGTAAACATCAGTGCCGTTACCCCCCTCCCACGTGTTGTGGTCCCCATCACCCCTCTCTCTTCACCTGCAGCTCACACCAGGCCACTTCCACGGTGGTCTCCGTGTCCAGCCCCTTGTAGACAGTCTTAAAAGATCCCCGGCCGATCTCGATGTCAAACTTGAGGAATCGGCCGTCCGGGGAGAATCCCACCGCCTTGGTTTCCAGCTCCTCGTTGTCGTCCGGCGGCCTCTCCTCAGCCAGTGAGGGCCGGTGGACCTGACGGCTCCCACGGCCGGAGCTCACTGGCCATGCTGGGAGCGGGACATGAGACGCGGCAGCTTCTTCTCCTCCTGACAGGAATCAGCGCGCACCCTCCTCCCCGTCACTCTCCTCACTCACTGGCCAAATGGCGCGCACAGCGCGCGACGGGGCTCTGACACACACTGCGCGCGCCGGGACACGCCCACCAACAACCCTACGCACCTATCACAGGGCTCCCCACAACCCAACCCCGTCCAGTAAAACTCTATCCCCCGGTTCCTTGATCCATGATAGGATCATTTCCAGAACTGGCTCCGCCCACTAAATTGATATCCCTAACCCCTTACGCTTGTGACAGGACCTAACTGCCTACTTTGACTAACTCCGCCCCTTTCGCCAGTGACAGGTCCCCTTTAAAACCTAGCCGCACCCCCTACATTAATACACCCGTCGCCTCCGCTTGTGACAGATCATAACTACTACACCACTGCACCTACTACAGTTCGATCTACTACCCACTTATTACCAGTTCTCCTCAGAGAACTGCGCACTTTACAGCTTTCGCTGCCCCCCGAATACTGAAATTCTTCTCAAACCTAGCCACACCCACTTAAAAATCCCCGCCCTTCCTGCATGCAAGAGGCTTCTCGCTAGTGAGTCACGCCCACTAGACAACTAAAGGCCTGCCCCAACATTTTAAGTCCTAGCCACGCCTTCTCAAAATTCCGCCCCCAACCAGCTTGCGATCCGTTTAGCGCCCCAGCAGCAAGTGAACCGGGGGTTTGACCCTTACGAGCTCCCGTCTACACACCGCTCCTCGAAACGCGTGACCATCCCCAGCGGCTGGGACACGCCCACCAACAAAGGCGAGTCTCCGCCCCTCCGAGCCGCATGTGACAAAGGCATGTCCACGCCCATTGTTTGCGTTGAGCTCGGTAAGACACGCCCAGTAGGAGTGGATTGGTAGCACCGCCTTCAAGGCAATGATATTGCTGGGCTTCGTACCGCTCCCTGCCCTGAGGGGGGGTAGGAGGTGATGTCAGTGGTTACGGTGGGGTGACTGCCTATGTGTGAGTGTCAGAGGCCTGCATGAGACATCAGTCTTAGCGACTTCAATCTGATATCAGTTATAGAGGTTTGAGGCTTCATCAAGGTAACATCCAATTAGGCAGATCTATGGAGCATGACAGAAGAATAACCGGGGCAGTTAGAAAACATGTTGCTGTTAGTATTGTCTTCTTGCAAAGCTGCCGTCACACAGAGTTCTTCCTACAGAGCAACGTGCTCTTGCTTTCTCAAGGTTGCCCAGAATATGGGAGAGTGTTCTGAAGTCTTTGATGTCACTATGTCGCCCAGAAGAAGGGACCCTGCGTGGCCCCGAAACGTTGGCAGTTTGCCGCATGTGACGATTCAATAAAAAGTGCTTTACATCTTGCACATATCATCAAGTGCTGGTGACTTCTATTATGGTGAAGTCTTCTGACTCCTTCATCCATAGTAATCACAGCCATGGAACACTTCCTATCGATTGCTCTAGCTCTAAAGGTCCATTGCTCGCTAAACTTGCCTTACCAGTGCTCCAATTACAATGGCAATACCCACACGCTTAGGTGCAAGCCTTGCAGTGAATCTTTTGGAGGAAACAATGGTCTTTATGTTAGCTGCTCTATATTTAGCCTGTCACCATTTAGCTTTTAAAGGAGGACACCATTTAGCAAGTAACATCCACCTATATGTACCTCATTTGCAGAGATTCAAGGTCTGCAAGGTCCCTTACCAGAGCAGACACCTTCACCTGGTCTTCTTTCTTTGGCCATCTTGATAAGCCGGCCTGTGCACTAGAGTCAATGCAGATTGTGCTGCACATGCACAGCTCTGTGTACATTTAGGTTTCCAAGCAGGCAGGCAAAAAGGGTTTTATTGCAGTAGAAACATGAAAAGGGGGGGATTTATTAAAGACAAATAGTCTGTTCAATTTGCAAGGAATATTCCCTTCACTTAGTGCAGGGCTTCACAACTTTTCTTTGAATCCAGGAGCCAGGATTTTTTTGTGGGGGCGTTTCACGTTTGTGGAGGGACATTAGTTTTTTTCTCTTTTTGGTATTTTTAATTTAATTGTATTATTTTACATTTTTTTATCACTTTTTTTTTGTCACTTAACTTTATTGATATCACACGGGTGATAAACAAGCCCCTATGTGATATCATTTGGAGGTGACAGGCTCTCTTTATGAAGTCTGCCCTCCAGTACAGAAAATCCAGCACAGCTTTGTGATGAACCTTCTGTACAGCTGCACATGTGACAGCTGACACAGGAACTCCTGTGACTGCAGCACTCCTGTGTCACTGATCACAGAGCAGATCGGAGAACGGAAGTTCTCTGCTCTGCTCCCCGCTCTCATCCTGAAATTATTGCCGTGGTCCCGGGTCCCCCAGAAAAACCACGGTGGGGAGGGGGGTGGCTGGACCATGGGGGGGCGAACTATACAAGTTATCCGGGCAGATCACTCGTAGTAAATGAACGCTGGCTTCCTCCACTCTACATATAGCCCTGGGTGCCCGAAGCAGGGCTAAATGTAGAAAAAAAAAACACCCGCCCCGTGAGCTCCCGTCAGAACTGCATGTCCCGGGCATCGGGCGATAGAAGAAAGGTGCGTTGAACAGGCTGACAAAAGCCAAGGCACCCAGGCACCAGGATGCAATTTCTAGTCGCATTGGCGACCTGGCACCTGGGATTTGTCTAGCTCTGACTTAGTGAATGAGGTGAAGTTCCTCTAACTTCCATCTAACTCATTGGCAAGCAAAAAGTTTATTTTTATTTTCCTTGTGCATGACCAGATGTACATTGCAACGTGAATTTACACCATATTCACTAAGCTAAGGGAAAATTCTCCTGCAAAGTGAACAGTCTATTTGTCATAAGTAAATCAACCCACTGGAGAGAAAAGCAGATGAGGACATTGTCAGGGGGAGCATTGTGATCTCTGTGAGAGGTAATAAATACCTGGAAGTGTTACATGGACACAATAATAAGCATGCTGCATTTAAAGCAGAACTGCAGGAAAAATGAATTTTATTGGAAACACCTCAGTGGAAATAAGTTACCGCTAATGAAGACTATCCTGTGCCTTGATTGCGGCTGATTACTGTATCAGTCTTAGTTCCATTTATCTCGGTTATTAAACACAGCGACTCTTCTTTTGGCTCTCATACGGTAAAGAATCCTGTTGTTTATTCTCCCCTCGTCCATTCCTAAAACACCTCATATTTTTTTTCACAAGGCATTCTATGAATGGACAAGGGGAGCACCTGGTGTTTACCCACCCTCCGCTCCTCTCATTGTCTATTATTATTATACAGGCTTTATATAGCGCTTGCACAGTTTGCACAGCGTTTACAAAACTGAGGGAGACAATACAGTTAACAATACAATTTCAGTACAGGGGGTAGGAGGGCCCTGCTCGTGAGAGCTTACAATCTAGTAGGAGGAGGGAAATGTAAAAAAATATGAGAACTGTTTGGGATGAATTAGTGGAAGCTCTGAAAGGACAGTTCTATCGAGGTGGAATAGGCCTCCCTGAAGAGATGAGTTTTCAAGTATTGGCTAAAGGTGGACAGAGTAGGAGATAGGCGGACAGATTGCGGTAGGGAGTTCCAAAGGATGGGAGACACTGTTGAAAAATCCTGAAGGCGATCATGCGAGGAGGTGACAAGGGAACTGGAGAGCAGGAGGTCTTTGGAGGAGCGAAGGAGGTTGTTTGGGTGATATTTTGACGAGGTGGGTGATGTAGGTTGGGGTGGAGTTGTAGATGGCTTTGTAGGTTATTGTTAGTATTTTGAATTTTATACGCTGAGGAAGTGGTAGCGATTGGCAGAGAGGGGTGGCGGACAATGACCGGTTGGTAAGGTGGATGAGTCTGGCAGCAGTGTTCATGATCGACTGAAGGGGGGATAGCCTGCTTAGTGTGAAAAGAATACAAGGGGTTTTGTGAATGGACAAGAGGTAGGAGGTGGGTGAACAACAGGATCCTTTACTATATGAGATCTGGAACTATCAGTCACAGGGCCAGTAGAAGAGCGCTGAGTGTAGTGTCCGGGATGAATGAAACTCAGATTTGTACAGTAACCAGCTGATCAGGGCATATGATCGTCTCCAGTAGTGGAATATTTATTTAAATTTTTCATGGAGTTTCACTTTAACATGAAGTAGGGTTGTCACCCGTACGACCCGGGTTTGGAATCATGTGCCCGGCAGGGGCGGACTGGGCCGGGGGGCAGGGTGGCAATTGCCCCCCGGGCCTCTCCGATGCCGTCGCGTACGGCCCCCGTGACCCCCACTGTCGCCGGCATCCGATACGGCATCTGTGATCGGCGGCCGCTGGGTCCTCGGCTTCTCGGGCTGCCCTCTACACTGCCTGATTAGAGGGCCGCTTCTGCTTGATCTAGCTGGATAAGGCAGGAGAGGCCCTCTAATCAGGCAGTGTAGAGGGCAGCCCGAGAAGCCGAGGACCCAGCGGCCGCC